ACTGTATGCGGCTGTACCCCATTATCTGACATGTGTGAGTGCCATCCATCCCGGCTGGGAGAAGTATATGAACTATTATTTCAGGAACTGTCAGCAGCTCCTTCGGCAGCCATCACCTCCCAATGTTTTCTCTATCTGGATTTGAATGAAGGAGACTCTAATTTGGATCTAATAGTTGACACTTCGGGATTCCTGCTATTGACTGTCCAGAGTCCCGGAAATATCCGATGTCCTCTGATTTCCTCTGGTGTCACATTTCATTGTCTTGATTCTTCACACAGCTTGGATGTGTACAGCCAGAAATGAGCAGGCAGCCATTGCTAGCCTCTTCCTGGGATTGCTCATTGCCTGGCTGTCTGTAGTTTTAGTATCCCGACTCACTGGGCCTGGAACAAACATGTACCTTAGAAAGTCAGACTGCAGTAACAGTCCTTGATCTGCACACCTCTTCCAGGCTGGTCGTTGAAGCCAGGAAACTAGCAGTTTCAGAACAGTCAATTAAAGAGTATCTCCGGGGAAATTTTTTTTTTTTTTCTGGTTTTTGATTGACAAGGGAAGATTTGGACTGTCAGGATTTTATTGCTGTCTGTGTCCCCAATGGAGTGATTCACCCTCTCTATTTGTCACCAGGAACAAAAGTGGGGGGATAGCCAACATTTTAAAGTTGTCCCAAAGCAAGGAGAAATCGTCCAATGGGAGTACCTGTTCCAGGGACAGCTAAGAGGGGCTTGTCCCTGGCTTTGAGAGATTTCCTCCAACGTCCTGTTGTGTGACAGAAGTAAAATCTCCCCAATGGGACACAGACAGCAGAAAATAAACTGGCAGGGCTTCTAGCCATTCACAACTTTGTGCAATTTTTATGAAATTAGCTATATATATATATATGATTGTAAAGGTTTGTATTAAATGATAAACATTTGTGGAGTGCAGGACTAAGGGCTCATGTACACTGCGGCTGATAAACCCACGTTTAGGAGCTGTTCAGCGTTTTTTTTCAGCAGCCCCTGAACTCTCCCTCATGTTTTCCTGTGTGTCCATGTGCACAGAGTTGTTTACAGGCATTTGAGTTTACAGTCGTTTCTTTTAAAGTTCAGCAGTCGATTTTACCAGAGTTTCAAACGCAAAACGCTTGTAAATGCGGCAAATCGTGTTTATAAGCGTTTGCTTTGAATTTTTTTTGTTTTTTTAACTCTTCCAGTTCCCAATGCTGTCCAGAGCCTTTTTGCATCATGAAAAATGCATGCAAAGCGTTTTCAGGGTACTCAGATGGACAAAACACTGAACACAGAATGTTCCTACCAAGCTTGTCACACATTGTAATGACCAATTCACACCTCAGACCTCTCCCATCCTTGGAAACAAAAGATATGTTAATGACCATTCACACCTCAAATTCCTCATGAAGACCCCCTGCCAGGTGACCTTAATGACTCACTCCAGCAGACACCTTTCCCACCCTTGGAAACAAAAGAAATGTTAATGAGCAATTCACACCTAAGCTAATCTCAACACGTACTGCTGTCTCTGCTTCTACTCTCTGTATTTCTCTGAAACAGTCTGAAATAGTTAATAATTTACCACTTTTCAGTGCATTCTGGCCATTTGGGAGGTTCTCCTGTGCTTATCTTTAAAAAACGCTTCTAAACGCAAATGCACATAAACGCGTTATGCAGACGCGGCTAAACAGACTTTTTTTAACCTATATTTTCCAGCAGTCAGTTTCCATCGTTCAGAAATGTCCCGTGTACATGGGGCCTAATAGTTGTCCTGTGGACAGATTCTCCCACCTGAGCTGTGGATCTCTGCAGCTCCTCCAGAGTTCCCATGGGCCTCTTGGCTGCCTCTCTGATGAATGCTCTCCTTGCCCGGCCTGTCAATTTAGGTGGATGGCCATGTCTTGGTAGGTTTGCAGTCGTGCCATACTCCTTCCATTTTTGGATGATGGATTGAACAGTGCTCCATGAGATGTTCAGAGCTTGGGATATTTTTTTTTTATAATCTAACCCTGCTATAACCCCTTGCCCTCCTGAGGATTTACCCCCCCCCCCCCCCCTTCCTGATCAGGCCATTTTTTTTAGATATAGCGCTGCATTACTTTAACTGACAATTGCGATCATGCAACGCTGCACCCAAATTAAATTTAGTTCCTTTTTTTTTTTCCCCTCCACGAATAGAGCTTTCTTTTGGTGGTATTTGATCGCCTGTGCAGTTTTTTAATTTCTTACACTATTATGAAGTTCTAAAATACAATTTAGTAACGTAAATTAATTTTTATTGAAAGTAACACAAAAATTTAAACTAAAATTTTATATATATATATTGATTGAGTACTGTCCGTGATACTTTTTTTATTTGCACTAATATACAATTTTGAGTACAAGCTTTCGGGCTATGTCCCCTTCTTCAGGTCCAAGCAGTACTGTACAAATCACAAAGTTTCAGCAGAATGTTAGAAGAGATAAGGAAAAAAAAAAAAAAAAGAGAGGCTAGAGATAAGATACAGCCAAAGCGAGGGGGGAGGGGATACTACACTCACACAGAGGGAGTCAAGCTTCAGCTAATAGCCATAAAACTGTTGGATAATAAGTGTGTAATGATTCCTCGCTCGTCATCCAACAGTTTTATGGCTATTAGCTGAAGCTTGACTCCCTCTGTGTGAGTGTAGTATCCCCTCCCCCCTCGCTTTGGCTGTATCTTCTCTTTTTTTTTTTTTTTTTTTTCTTCATCTATTCTAACATTCTGCTGAAATTTTGTGATTTGTACAGTACTGCTTGGACTTTGAAGAAGGGGACATACCCCGAAAGCTTGTCCTCAGAATTGTATGTTAGTGCAAATAAAAAAAAGTATCGCGGACAGTACTCAATTGTTTCTGTTGCAAATGCACTAATACGGCTACAATCACCTCAAATATATATATATATATAATGTGTGTAAAGACTTATGCAGGCCATAGATGGGGAGAAAAACGGCAGATTTTTGGCCGATTAACGAACTATCGGTCGGTCTAAAAAACTTACCTGACCACCAATTATTACGAAAATCGGCCGATTAATGAGTAACCTATAACGGGAAATGATGTCATTTTGTGGCCTTTGTGATCCTTTTTCGGAAAACGATCGTTCGTTTTTGACCATCAATGAGGATAAAGTCGGGCGTTTTTCGAAAATTTTCCAACATCACCGATAATCTGAAAGTCCAAAATACACGAAAAACGGCCGACAAAATCGTCCATTAACGATAAGATAATCGGCCGGTTTTATTTTCGGACGAAAAATCGGCCGTTTTTCTCCCCATCTATGGCCTGCATTAGATGGACTCCAGCTAACACATTGTTTTCTTTTGGTAAATTGAACTGCTTTGACATATCCCCTGAGATATTACCCCCCCCCCCATTTACCGGTAATACTTCAACTCCTTTTAAAGTATAAGGCTACGTTCACACTAGTGTTGTGTGCAGGCGGCAGAGAGGCGTTTGGGAAGCGTTTTTACCGCTTCCCAAACGCCTCTGCCAATTCTGCACATTGCATCACATGGTGCTGTTCTAACGGGAGCGTTTGCGTCGCGGCAAAACAGACGCCTCTGGTTGAGTCAGGAGGCGTTGAACCCTCCTATTCTAGTCTATGGTGCCGCTCCACAAATGCCCGGCCAGCGTTTGCGGTGCGGTTGCGGGGCGTTTGCGGAGCGGTAACACCACTCAAACTGCATTATAGGCGTTTGTGGGGCGTTTTTAACGCTCGGCAAATGCCTAGCAACCGCCGCTAAACCGCGCATGCAGCGTTTGCGGAGCATTTGCCGAGCGTTAAAAAACGCTCCGCAAACGCCTGACCAACGCTTGCCAAACGCTATAGGGGCGTTTGGCAAGCATTGGTAAAACAGCCAAGTGTGAACAAGCCCTAACTCCAGCCTTACCTTTCTTCCCCAGACTTGTTGTCTATGTTGAATGTGATTTACTTTCAATTCCATGCACACTTTCATCTCCACAGTACGACCCATTGTAGTCGCAGCTGTTTAAGTGACTACACTGATCATCAATTCTCATTTTTTTAGTGCTGCCAAAAGTCACTATACTGCTGTTTCAGTGCGCTGTATAAAAGAACATGTCCTCAGCATCCCTTTAGACATGCATCCCTGCTAGCCATAGCTTGCCACAGGTTGTAGCTGTGCAATCTCCATATCAGTTGCTTGATTACACTCTATTGGATCAGCTAAGCAGACTGCACAGCTAAAAGTTGCAGCACTCTGCAGTTAGCAGGGATGCGTGATTGAAGGGATGGCAGGGAGGTATTTTTTTCATATAATTCTGGATGTAATGTGCTATTTACAGGAGCATGATAGCCCCTCTCATCAAACTCAGTCTAGCTTTGGAACAAAGGCCAGCAGACAGACCCGGTGATGTTACTGGGCCTCAAAAGTGGTATTTCTTAAAAACAAAATAATTTGCTTTAACTACAGGCTGTATATTGGCTTATAAACAAGCCCTTCCCGACTCCTATAGTTGCAGGCAAGTTGTTCATATCATAGTCTCAGCAGTTCAGCTCCCCTTGCTATGCCCTCTCAGAACATTTCGTCTATGTGTACATTAGAGATGAATAGGCTGGAAGATGGCGGAGTCACTGCTGGAAGTAGGAGCAGAAGGGAGGGGGATCTGCAGAGTTGCAGTTTAGAGGAAGGGCAGGGTGAGCTGAGAGCTGCGAGGTAAGTTCTTGCATGGACATGGCCGTACATTACAACATATGGTCTTACAGAGGGAAATATGGCTTTTGTTGTGATGCCCAGGAGCCACAGCTTCATCGTAATTTTCTTCATTGAGATGCATTACAGAAAGATACATAAAATAAGGGGGGAGGTGTTCTGTAGCCCAGCAAGGGAGAAGTGGGTAAGGCTGATAACATCAGAGTTTTGTTGTGTACCTGTGATCCAGCATGCTACTTTTGTAGCAGATTAGATGTACTGATGCTTTAGAGGGGTTTCTCTTGTTCTGATTTCATTGTCATGATTTATTTCAGGAACGAGAGCCGGTGCCGGTTTACCATCCCACACCCAGCCAGACCCGTCTAGCCACCCAGCTGACTGAGGAGGAACAAGTGTGGATTGCGCAGAGGATGGGCCTAATTCAGCATTTACCGAAAGGCAGATATGACTCTGGATCTGAGCGCTCGGAGAAGAAGCTGAAAGAGTTAGTGCCATAGGGATAGGATCCCATGTTATCATTATGTCTTCATGATAGTTTTTCCCTGCATCAGGAATCCCAGCGTTTGCATTGTTTTGGCTGCTTTATTAATGAAACAATGTAGCTTGGTTTCTTTGTAAGGCTGGCCATACATTATGCAATTTTCTTTCCTTCAACCGCAGGATGAAGGAAAAAAAAAAATCGGTTGTTTTCCCAATAAACACGGTCAGTGTTGATGGGGGAATCCCTCCCGCGAAGCTATTTTATTTTGACAGCGGGAGGTTCCCTGCTTTCAGAATACAGTGATCACTGCTGCTGGTTAAAGTCAGCGGCAGTGATCATACGAAAAAAATCTGAAAGGCTGACTTCAGTATAAACAGGATGGATCGAAATTCGACTGGTTTTTGTTGAACTGGCCAAATTTCGATCCGTCTATGCCTGGCTTAATACTGCAGTAATATACAGGCTGGTGATATTGGTGTCTTCTCTCTATAATACAATATCATTAACCCCTTCCTGCCGGCGCCTCCCGGCCCTTTAAGAGTTTCAGGAGGCGGGGTTTAGGGATCATGTGACCGTCGTGACGTATCATTGCGGCGTTCACATTTTCGGGAAAGGTCCCGATCGAAAGAGCAGTCCGGGACATTTCCGTGAGTACCGGACATGTGTGCCGGGTGCGCGCTTTCAGCACATATGTTTTTCGTTAATTGCACGCAAATGTGCGGCTGCTCGGGGTCTAGGCCCAGACACCGGGAGGCCGCACATTTGGCCGGCGTGAAGAGGTTAACATCATTACTTTTACCACTAGTATGACTATTAGCCCTCGTGCACACGGGACATTTTGATAACGCTGGTAACGTTAGCTGTGTAAAGTCATGTTAAAAAACTGAGTTTTTCAGCTTTTTTTAGCGTTTTTGCATTAGTGTTTAGTGGCGGTTTCCCACGATTAGCGGCGGTTTCCTGCATTTGCGTTTTTTAGCGTGGTTTTTTTTTTTACCAAAATTAATTTTTTCTTTCATCAAAAAAAGTCCAAAAACACCGGTTTGCAGCATTTTAGAGCATTTTGCCACGTTTTTCAACATTGGTGCATTTTTACAGCTAAAAAAACTCTAGAAACCCACTTTTCCAGCCAGAAAAAACGTCTCAGTCAAAAAACGTTGATTCCAGTCTATGTGTGCATTGACACATAGGATAACATGCTGGGGGGTTTACTGGCTGTAGAAAAAAACTTCAACAGCCACAAAGTGCCGCTGTAAAAACTTCAAGTTACACCTGCGGTGGGTTCTGTACTGTGAAATAGAACAATGCCATCTGCTTAACCACTTTCACCCCCTTCCAGTCCAGGGCAATTTTCAGCTTTCAGCACTATCACACTTTGAATGACAATTGCACGGTCATGCAACACTGTACCCAAATGAATTTTTTGCCATTTTTTTTGAGACAGATAAAGCTTTATTTTGGTGGTATTTATTCACCACTGGGATTTTTATTCTTTTGCTATGTAAATGAAAAAGTCCAAAAATTTTGAAAAAAAAAGTTTTTTTTTATAAAATCTTGCAAATAAATAATATTTCATCATAAACCTTGGCCAAAGTTTATTCCGTTATCTTTTTAGTAAAAAAAAAAAATCCAAATTAGTTTATAACCAAAAATTATAATTTTTAAACTTTTTTTTTTTACATTTTTATTTTTTTATATTATTATTTATTTTTTTTTTTTTTACATACTGTCACCCTAGCAGTACAGTGTCACCATGGTGACACTGTACTACTTGTGGGGGGTGATGAAGATTTATTTTTTTTTTTTTTACACTGATTGCTTTTACACCCATATAGGATGTAACAGCAATCATTTCTTGCACTCATTGAGAAGTACTGAGTGAGCTGTGATTGGTCACAGCTTGTCACATGGTACAAGGCTGTTGTGAATAGCCTTGTACCATGTGACCTCTGTGATCATTCACAGATTTCACACGTAGTAAGCAATGATGTCACAAGTGACATCTTGCTTACTACTTTGCATGTGATCACTGATTGGCCAATCAGTGATCACATGATCGGGACTTCGTACAGAGGTCCAGTCCGACGATCGATGTTTCACTGTGTCCAGAGGACACAGCGGGCACCGGATCGCGGTGCTGCGCGCTCCCAGGGAGCGCGCATAAGCAGAGTGCGGGGAGGCCATTTATAAACGGCCACCCGACCCTGCACTGCCACCGTCCGGCTGTTTATATGCAACGGCTGGTTGGGAAGTGTTTAAGGGATGTGAGTTATGGGAGGCACCAGCCTAGCTCCAAAGAAGGGGATTAGGTTCCCACAACGCATTCAATGGTCCTGCTATTTTGCCTGTATTTGGAGGTGGAGACTGGTCCTTATTGTATGCTTTATGCATTTACTTGCCTTTAAGCTCACTTGGCTTGTGAGTATAACATTTGTATTTTACATCCAGTTGACAACCGCAGGTAGCCGAATGACTGCTGCACTGCGGCAGGCCAGTTCTGGCAGGCTGTCATATGACGTCCTCCCAGAACGCACCCTCCTGAGCGCACCCAGCGATCTCCGTGATCGCTGTGTCCTATGGACACAGCTGATCACGTGATGTGGTAAAAGGCCAATCACAGCGGCCTTTTGCCACGTGATCAGCCGTGTCCAATGACACGGTGATCACCGGGAAATGCTATTGCCGGTTTTCGGCTGCACTTTCCTCACGCTGTCAGAGTGTGAGGAAAGTACTGCCAAGGACCGGCAGTTGTCAGAGCAGGGATCGGCACCGATCATCAGGGCACTGATGATCAGTGCCCAGCAGTGCCACCCACCAGTTCCTCTCACCTGTGCCCACCGGTGTCACCCACCTGTGCCCATCAGTGCAGCCCAGCAGTGCCGCCAGTCAGTTCCGACTTTCAGTACCCATCATCAGTGGTGACTATTAGTGCTGCCTATTAGTGCCCATCAGTGCTGCCTATCAGTGCAGCCTCATCAACACAAATCAGTGAAGGAGAAAAATTACCTGTTTGCAAAATTTTATAATAGAAACAAAGAAACTTTTTTTTTTTTTTTCAAAATTTTTTGCTTTTTTTTTTGTTCATAGTGCAAAAAATAAAACACCCAGCGGCGAGTAAATACCACCAAAAGAAAGCTCTATTTGTGAGGAAAAAAATGATAAACATTTCAAATGAGTACAATGTTGCATGACCGCGCAATTGTCATTCAAAGTGCGACAGCGCTGAAAGCTGAAAATTGGTCTGGTAAGGAAGGGGGTAGAAGTGCCCAGCAGGCAAGTGGTTAATAAAGTGTCCATAGATAATGCGTTAGGCATTTGTGCCGTCTCTGTTTTTATTTTTCACATAGAGAAGTTTTGCATGAATGGCAGAGTTCTACTGCAGTAGATATTACCCACACATACACTTTAATTATCCATTTAATGAACATGATCCACAGACTTGTGTACTAGTAAACCTACCCCAGAGTATGTGACCCATTAGGGCCATGCCACACCAGAGATCCTGTTATTGGCTGCAGCTCGCTAACAACAGGATCTCAAACAAGAGCAATCACCTGCTTCTGTGGCATCCCTCCCACGATGAAACTTGCAGAATGTCAGTTGACCGCAAGGAAGCAATGATGGACCGACACCTTGGTGGTATGGCCAGTGAAGGAGCAATTTTGTAGTAGCAGGTTCTTTCTGCTCTTATAGCAATCCTGTTACTGGCGAGGTGCCTCCAGCATCAGGATTGCTGCCATGACGTGAGTCTCGGGGTTATCGACTAGCATTATGCAGAGTGCTTTAAGTAGCATGAGCTCTGCTGTGCACTTAGCTGCTTACACCAGAGATGGAGAAAATTGCTACCAGTCTACCAGCAACATATTAAAGATGGGAATACACGATTAGAAAATCGATCGGTCATCCGACAGCCGAGAGGCGTTCGTTCGTTGGTCGAAATCGTGGCCCACATTAACCAATCTAAAAAAATCGTTCGGGCAATACGTAGTGTTGACATCTTCTGTACAAGTGGAAGTGATGCGGTGTGCATGTGACCTTGTAGCCACGCCCTTCCGGCCAGAACGAGCGATATACACAATGACCAGCAATGAGTATAATATCGTTTATTACATGACCTATATACATAAATAGTGATACATAAAATATCATCTGCAGAATTCTGGTGTCATTATCTCATTAGGCCAATCTACTTTTAACATTTAGATTTTTTGTTCGTGTTTACGAAGATTCCTTGGACATAAACATCCGGGTCATCTTCTGTTTCCGCTCATGTGTGATAGCGCTTGATAGATTTTTTTTCGTACGACCGTCATACCACCGCATAGAAAATCAGCTGTTCGTATGCGAAACTACAAAATTTTTCACTGTTGTTCAACCGGATTTTTTTTTGTTCACAATATCGTATCGGTTAAAAAACATCATCCTGCTCACCAATGAAGAGAAAATCGTTCCATCAGTGGTTCCGCGAAAATTTTCGTAGAATTTTCTTACCGAGTGTACGGGGCATAAGGTGAATTTGGAATTGTGAGCACTTTCAGCATGCACAATTGTTTTCTGTTGTGTTGTGCAGTTATTAACCAGTTGCCGACCGCAGCTAGCCGAATGACGGCTACACTGCGCCTAGCCAGTTCTGGGAGGGCGTCATATGACGTCCTCCCAGAATGCGCTCTCCTGCGCTCCCCCGGCGATCTCTGTGATCGCTGTGTCCTACGGACAAAGCTGATCACATGATGTGGTAAAAGGCCAATCACAGCAGCTTTTTACCACGTGATCAGCCGTGTCCAGTGACACGCTGATCACAGGGAAATGCAATTGCCGATTCTCGGCTGCACTTTCCTCTCGCTGTCAGAACGTGGGGAAAGTACTACCGAGAACCGGCAGTTGTCAGAGCAGGGATCGGCACCGATCATCAGTGCCCTGAAGATCGGTGCTCAGCGGTGCCACCCAGCGGTGCCACCCACCTGTGCCACCCACCAGTGCCGCCAGTCAGTGCCCAGCAGTGCTGCCTATCAGTGCTGACTATCAGTACCCATCATCAGTGCCGCCTATCAGTGCCACCTATCCGTGCCACCTCATTAGTGCTGCCTATCAGTGCCCATCAGTGCTGCCTATCAGTGCAGCCTCATCAACGCACATCAGTAAAGGAGAAAAATTACCTGTTTGCAAAATTTTATAATAGAAGCAAAGAAACCTTTTTTTTTTCAAACATTTTTTTGTTTATAGCGCAAAAAATAAAACCCCCAGCGGCAAGTAAATGCCACCAAAAGAAAGCTCTATTTGTGAGAAAAAAAATGATAAAAATTTCATATGGGTACAATGTTGCACGACCGCGCAGTTGTCATTCAAAGTGCGACAGCGCTGAAAGCTGAAAATTGGCCTGGTAAGGAAGGGGGTATAAGTGCCCGGTAGGCAAGTGGTTACAATACACCTGATTTATCTGTTTTGAGAATGACTTTCTTTCCGGGCTGTGTGGATGGGGGAAAAACCCAGATGTGCTGCACATCATTGCCCCCATCACAATGGCCTACACATCTCATTAAGCTTTGGGATGTTAGTTCCTATGTAGGCATTACATGGGCATTTCTGTGTGATTTGTCAGGAGTAATCTTGTCCTCTGTCACAGCTCCCAATACCTGCACACCATTTCTGCCTGTAATCTGTTGGTACTGCTCACTGTCCCCTGATGTCAGTAAAATCCCCATCAAATCACACCAGGGCATTGTGGGGGGGATTGGTCACTCTAAGAATAAAGCAGCCGCTAGGTTCCAGTCTCCTGGACAGGAAATTAAACACATAAAATCTCTGGATTATGACTTTGAGGGAAGATCCGAGGATAATGCTGCTGCATCAAGGTCAATGAAGCTAATCCTGAGGCTAGTTTTCTGCGTGCCTAATAGACTGCTGAAACTAGCAGGAGTGGGGCTTTCATGGAAAGTTACCAAAGCCAATTACAGCCTGGCATTTTCAGATGGAGAACAGCAATAGCAGCCTTTGTACTTCTCCTATGGTATACTTTTATTGCAGCCCAATTATTCTAGGTCATGCTCAGGATAATGGCAAAATGAACAAATATTTGACTTTCTATAGTGGTCTATAGGCTTTGTAAACATGGTTTCACCACACCTTTTCTATACACTTCCCCCAATGGCACAAAGTGTCTGTAGCACTTTATTCTCTTTCAGTTGGTGCAGTAGATCCACTGACAATGCACCCCCCCTTCCAGTCTTATGGATCTGATTGAGGAGCATAATCGACTAGTGCTGATTGACAGCACTGATCTCGGGCACTTGCCTGAGACCAGTGCTGTTACAACACAAATGCAGGCCATAGACAGGACGTTTATCGGCCGAATTGTCGGCTGAACAAAAAATCGGCCGATAGACCGTTAGTGGGGCAGTGTCGTCGGCCTATTTTCGTGGGTCTTGTCATTTCGGTCATGCTGGAAAATCTACGAAAAACGCCCGTTTTCCGTAAGCATTGGTGGCAGTAACGACTGATTTTTCGTTTATCAGCCGACAATTCAGCCGATAAACTTCCGTCTATGGCCAGCCAAAGAGAGAAAGGGGCATGTCAGCTGGGGGGTGTATGAGAGTGACTGCCTAATAGATATTCACTGGTGTGATCGCAGCAGATGAGGGGGGGGGGGGGGGGCAGAAATCAAGAGAGCTCCACCTGAGGGACTCAAAAGTCATGCTTGGTAAAGGCCTGTACACGTGATTAGAAAATTGTATGGAAATTTCTGTACAAGGAGCGATAGGTTGATTACCTCTTCCTTAGTATTCTATTTTCAACAGCTGATTCTGACAATTTGAACGAAAAAAAAAAAAAGTGCAAGCTAGAAAATTTTTATCGTACGTGAACTCAATGTACGATTTTTGCTCAATGTGTACATATACGGAAATAAACAGAAAAAAAAGTGCATGATCAGAAGCAAAGAACAACCCAGAAGAAAGTGGCAATGAACATAGAAATTGTACACAAGAAAGAATGTCTCCCTACATAGGCTGAGAATTTTCATACAAGTTCATACTATTGTTGGTTACATCATGATATGCACCTTCGTGGAAAATGAGACGATCATTCGTCCAATTCTCTCATAGTGTGTACTAGACTTTATACAGCGGGAGGGAGTGTGTTCGAGAAATCATTACTAAGCAGCCAGAGAATTATCTCATTTATAAGACAAAAATCACAGATTTAAAGCGGAGTTCCACCCAAAAGGGGAAGTTCTGCTTTAAAGATTGGCCCCCCCGCTCTCCATTAAGGATTGGCACCTTTGGGGAACGGGGAGGGGGGGGGAGGAGCGGGTACCCAAATTTGACAGGTACCCGCTCCCACTTCCACTGTGATTGCCTAGGCCATCGGAAACGGAAGTTGCCCTCCTACCCTCCCTCCCCGAAGTCTTGTGGGACACGCGACAGGTCCCAGAAGATGACGGGGCCATTCAGGAAGCACAGCGCTACTCACGCATGCACAGTGGGCACCCAGCTGTGAAGCCGGGTGCCCACACTGAAGATACCAGTGCCAGGAATTCAGGATGGCCGGTGAAACGGGCTGCGGCAGGGGCCAGCGCGGGATCGTGGGATAGGTGAGTGGCTGTTTTTTAAAAGTCAGCAGCTAGTTTTTTTTTTTTTTTACAGAGTGAGTGGAACTCCACTTTAAGGTCAACTTTAATTAAAAAAAAAAATCTGCTAACAGTCGGACTTTTTAGTACAGAAGAGACAAACTATGGCTGTTCTGCTTTAACCACTTCCTGACCGGCCGTTGCATATAAACGGCCGGACGGTGGCAGTGCAGGGTCGGGTTTTATAAACGGCCTCCCCGCACCCTGCTTGTGCACGCTCCCTGGGAGCGCGTAGCACCGCGATCCAGTGCCCGCTGTGTCCTCCGGACACAATGAAACACCAATCGTCGGACGGGACCTCTGTACGAGGTCCCGATCATGTGATCACTGATTGGCCAATCAGTGATCACATGCAAAGTAGTAAGCAAGATGTCACTTGTGACATCATTGCTTACTACGTGTGAAATCTGTGAATGATCACAGAGGTCACATGGTACAAGCCTATTCACAACAGGCTTGTACCATGTGACAAGCTGTGACCAATCACAGCTCACTCAGTACTTCTCAATGAGTGCAAGAATGCAGACAGAGAGAAAGAGAAATGATTGCTTTTACATCCTATATGGGTGTAAAAGCAATGTGTAAAAAAAAAAAAAAAAAAAAAAATCTTCATCACCACCCCCAAGTAGTACAGTGTCACCATGGTGACACTGTACTGCTAGGGTAACGGTATGTGAAAAAATAAAAATAATATAAAAATGTTTAAAAATTATAATTTTTGGTTATAAACTAATTTGGAAATTTTTTTTTACTAAAAAGATAACGGAATAAATTTTGGCAAAGATTTATGATGAAATATTATTTATTTGCAAAATTTTATAAAAAAAACACTTTTTTTCAAAATTTTTGGACTTTTCATTTACATAGCAAAAAAAATAAAAATCCCAGCGGTGAATAAATACCACCAAAATAAAGCTTTATCTGTCTCAAAAAAAATGGTAAAAAATTCATTTGGGTACAGTTTTGCATGACCGCACAATTGTCATTCAAAGTGTGATAGCGCTGAAAGCTGAAAATTGCCCTGGACTGGAAGGGGGTAAAAGTGTGCGGTCTGGAAGTGGTTAAAGTATTCTTACCTGTCGGTCTGCTGTGTACACTGAACTATGCAATGTTAGTATTTGCCGGGATAAATTCATTTCCACAACTGCGCACGACTGACATCATTTTGGCCCGGCCAATCAAAACGGCTTGAGATTGAAACCGGGAAGAAGACCAGCCGAAGATGTTTAGCAGCCAACAAGAAGCTCCTAAGCATTTCATCGCTGGAGTGGAGGTGAGTATAGTTCCTCTTTTAAAAAGACATTTCATACAAATTACTGAAACAATAAAAATGTCTTCATAAAACCATAAAAAGTAATAAAATAATAACACAATCTTTTACCCGAATGCTTTTTACTTCACCCAAAAAAAATAACAAATCGCTTTAGATACGTTAATAAAGTCAGGGCTGCAGAAGATGCAGATGGTGGTCAGCTTCATGCAGATCAATACCATTTTTCTGCCTGAAGTGGGGGGAGATATGTCCTGTATTTTAATGCCCATGTGTGCAGGGTTTATGTCTTTGCTAATCTGTGCTGTTATTGATACAGTACATCCATCACACTTCTTTTTTTTTTTTTCTCTTCTGTTTTTTCTGTGCAGGTGTGTGATCTGTATGCTGGACTTTGTCACTGGGGATCCAATACGCTTCCTGCCTTGTATGCACATTTACCATATGGAATGTATAGATGACTGGCTTATGCGCTCCTTCACATGTCCATCATGCATGGAGCCTGTGGATGCTGCACTGCTGTCCTCCTATGAGACAAACTGATCGGAAAGGGGGGTCACCCTGGATGTGCTGGCACCATGGCTTCTGTCGATCAAGTACAGTACTTTGGAAAGGGCTCGTTGACACCTGATGACCACTCTTCGTAGGCGCTGGTGAAAACTTGTATAAGAATGGTTTGCTGGGTAGGAATAGATGAAGTGTTGATGCTTAAAAGTCATGTGAATTACCGCTCCAGAGTCACCGAGTGGAAGAAAATAAATTAAAACATTAAAAACCCCTCCATCAGTGAAAACAACTTGTTGAGAGGAGGAGGAGACTTTGTGTACTATAAATTTCTCATCTCATTCAGCTCCGCATTGTGGTCTTCAGCAATCTAGACGCTTCCATGCAAGCTTTGTTTGCTCTTCTTAATTAGAAGACTTTTATTCTTCAGTAACGGGGGTCAAAATGTCTTTATTCAAATACCAAATGGATCCCTGAGCAACTGTACAAACTGAGGTGTGCGTGTGTGAACGAGGGCAAACTGCTGGCCAGTCTGGAGAGACGCACACATCTCAGGAGGAACGAGGGTTTGGGTGAGAAAGTACCACCTGCAATGGGTTGGGGTTATCTTGTTCCTTAGACAGTAGAGAGACAGCACCTGCAATGGGTTGGGATTTTCTTCTACCTTTGGACAGTAGAGAGGCACCATCTGCAATGGGGGTTGGGCTTATCTTCCACCTTGGAAAGTAGAGAGACACAACTTGCAATGGGGGTTGGGGTTATCTTGTTTCTTAGACATTAGATGGACACCTCCTGCAATGGGTTGAGGTTTTCTTCTACTTTGGACAATAGAGAGACACCATCTCCGATGGGTTGGGGTTATTTTCTATCTGCAGTGGGTTAGGATTTTCTTCTACCTTTTGGACAGTAAAGAGGCACCACCTGAAATGGGGGTTGGGCTTATCTTCCACCTTGGAAAGTAGAGAGACAACTTGCAATGGGGGTTGGGATTATCTTGTTTCTTAGACAGTAGACACCTCCTGCAATGGGTTGAGGTTTTCTTCTACTTTGGACAATAGAGAGACACCATCTCTGATGGGCTGGGGTTATTTTCTACCATGGACAGTAGATAGACACCTCCTGCAATGGGTTGAGGTTTTCTTCTACTTTGGACAATAGAGAGACACCATCTCCGATGGGCTGGGGTTATTTTCTACCATGGACAGTAGATAGACACCTTTGTTAGGTTATCTTGTACCTAAAACAGTTGAGGGCAATGGCTACTTATAGCTGAGTGCAGAATAGGATTCCTTTTAATAAGAATTCTCATACCTCCCCCTTTTTTTAAAAATTTGAGGACAGATAAATCATTAATGCTAGTTAGTAGCCATGATACTTAAGTTATAAGTTCTGATCACCATTTATGTTGAATACTACTGACAGATCATGCATGATAGCAAGGGAATGTCTGTGGGTACTGCATGCAGAACACCTCTGTGAGTTCATACAGTGCAGCCACGGACATTCCCAATCTCCCATCCACCGCTTGATCATCATGTAGTAGGTTTGTTGCCGTGTAGGCCGAGGATTTTATCTTGAATGTCTTCTGCCCAGTGCCTGGATTACGACTCTGCAGCAAAATGGCTTGGTAGGAACCTATTCCTAAACAAAAATGGAAGCCCCTAAGGAGTAGAAATAAAAAATTACCTGGGGGTGACCTGTTTATAAAAAAAATATTATTACTCGAGTTTATATAGCGCCAAAGGCAGTCCATCTGCACTACATTGAGTTTCATAGATGCATACAGCTCAAATTTAAATTTGTAATTATCAGGTATTAACTATCTCCTTCTATTCTGCCTCTGTTGTGCTGCTACATAGTTAGTCTGGCTGAAAAAAGACAAAAGTCCATCCAGTTCAACCATTAAAAAAAAAAAAAAAAAAAGTTATCCTATACACACAGTTGATCCAGAGGAAGGCAAAAACCCCAGCAAAGCACGATCCAATTTGCTCCTGCTGGGAAAAAATTCCTTCCTGATCCCCCGAGAGGCAATCTGATATTCCCTGGATCAACTTTACCTATAAATGTTATATCCAGTTATATTATTATTGTACAGGATTTATATAGCGCCAACAGTTTGCTCAGCGCTTTACAATATAACGGGAGACAATACAGCAACAATACAGTTCAATACAAGAGGGATAGGAGGGCCTGATCCTGGGAGCTTACAATCTAGGATATTCTGTGTATCTAAGAAACAATCCAGGACTTTTTTAAAGCAATCCACTGAGCTGGCCAGAACCAACTCTTGAGGGAGTCTATTCCACATTTTCACAGCTCTCACTGTGAAGAAACCTTTCTGTGTTTGGAGATTTAAATCTCTTTTCCTCCAGATGTAAAGAGTGCCCCCTTGTCCTCTGTGATGACCTCAGGGTGAATAACTCTACAGACACCCTTTATCCGCATAGGAAGTTTTTTGGTAAAGGTGAACTAACCTTTTAAATATTTTTTATTTGGCATAACCGGTAATTTAACAGCACAACAGAGGCAGAATAGAAGGAGATAGTGAATACCTGATGATTACAAATTTAAAGCTATGCAATTGTGAACTTCCATAGATGGACCGCCATCTGCATAGGCAGTTTTTTGGTAAGGTCAGTCTAAAATGTCCCACTCCTTCCGTGATTGAACAGACTGACACCTCCAAAGCATGACAGTTCACTGTCTATTGTTCCTCCATGGAAACCAGTACTAATTAAGGTGTATTCACACTAGGCAATCCATTCTGTGAATGTATCAATCCAAAAGTCATGTGTGTTTGGCTAGTGTGATCTCTTTGTACCATGCTTGGGTATGGTTCAGCATACTCTACCTTGGCCCACTTGGAGAGGTGGACTTGGGCACAGTTCAGTTAGATTTGCCACAGTATGCATTTGTGAGAGGCAGAGGTGATAACGTAAGCGTCCTCGGGCTCAGCACAATGTGAGCGCAACCAGCGGGGAAGGGAAGACAATTGGACACGATACAAGGCAGCCATGACTAGTACATCCTTAAACATTCAGGCGAGATAATAATAGATTGAGTACAGGTATAAGGAAACAAGAAAAGTAGTGAATGTTATTTATAAAAGTAATTGTCCTGTGTTACAAATTCATCACAACCATTTGAAAATCAATACTGTGGTGTGTCCTGGGAGCCCCTGAACAAAAAGCTATTTTATGCAAATTTCAGTTCGCTCTCGGAGTGCTGTACAAGGTTTGTAAATGCACTCCTGTGAACAAAGGATCACTTTAAATCCTCAGAATATTTTCACATGGTGTGAACGGGGGATCTGAGTCACATAAGGGTTTCCTTGTTTGGGGTGTAGTTACCCAACTTTACACTCTGCAGTTAGGCCTCATACATACTGGGCTTTTGCCCAGCCCTTCTAAACACCTTTCCTCCTGGCAGCGGCGTTTTTCGCAGGAAAAAAAAAGTTTGACACTTGTAAATGAGTCTTTAGGTGCGTCAAACGCTTGGGTGTTCATTTCATTGGCCAGAATATTTATTTATTTTGGTCACTGAAATGAATTAATGCTCAAGTGCTAAACGCACCTAGCATGAAGACACATCAAGGGTTTTTTTCTGCCAAAATGCCGCTGCTCCTGTACAGCGGGGTGGGGGTGGGTTGAGACGAGAGCGGGTTTCTTTTTCTGCCTCTTAATGCATTGAGATATAGGGGTTGATTTCCTAATACTGGGCAGTGCAAAATCTGGTGCAACTCTACACAGAAACCAATCGGCTTCCAGGTTTTATTGTCAAAGCTTAATTGAACAAGCTGATGTTAGAAGCTGATTGGCTGCCAGGCAGAGCTGCACCAGATTTTGCATTCTCCAGTTTTAGTAACCCCATAGATAACATGCAATGGCATTTAGAGGCAGAAAGTAAAAATATCCAGATGCCCCTAAGAGCAGCATTAAACATGTCCAGTGTGCATGAGGTCTAAAGCTGGCCATAGACTGTGTTTGGATCACGGCCGAGATTCAAACCATGTATGGACAGGCTGAATGTACCCAAGTTGATTGATCGATCAACTTGGGTACAACCAGCCTGTCGGATTTTAAATGCAATTATTGCTAGCGGCTATTATAGCTGTTTACCAGTAATCACTGTGTTCTCCTGGTGGAGACTGTTCCCAATAAATAATGGAAAACAAAGCAGAGTTAATGGGACACCCTTGTAATTGCTACAGAAGGTTGGTGGAATTGAGAACTCAAGTGCAGAACTCTCACCAATGGAATTCTCGACATGGTTAACCCCCGGTTCACATCTATGCGGCCTTGCGGGCCGCGTTTTGCACGGGCACGAGAGCCCATTCATTTTGAATGGACTCCCTTGCCCGTGGAACGCAGGGAAAGAAGTCTCTGCACTTCTTTGGAAAATGCAGCCCGCACGGGAACCTCAGTTCCGAATACAGTTGCGTTTTCCAGTGCGGGCGGCATGCCATTAGAACTAATGGCACCCGCCCGCGGGTCCGCAATTCTCTGTGTGGGTGGGGCGGCTGCACGGATTTTCACTCGGATCCACAGCGGCACCACCCGCACAGATGTGAACCTAGGGTACGACGCAATACATGATTAAACTCACCTGCATCAGCACAAATAGGAAATACCGGTTTTGGGTCGATTAGATGTTACCTATACAGTTTCCATGGAATACTTGAAAGTTGACATTTTCTGCTTTGATTTAGTTGACTACAACACTGCTTCACGATCTAGGTACAGTTATACATCCCAGGAACATCTCCCCTCACGTTTTAGAACGATGACAAACCTTTGTGTTGGGTTAGTGCAATTTCTTAGGGTATATGTGTATTAGATTGAATATGAAGGTTTTGTTTTTTTTTTTTTTTAAGCACTGTTTTTTTTATCATTGCAGTACACTGCCATGAACGAAGTCTGAATATATCAGATATGATACAATTACTGCATTGTCATGCCATAAAATAAACCCACGCTTCTATGCATTTGTAGATCATGTGATTTATTTTTCCCCTCCTTTTCTATCTATATGGGCAAATA